ACCAGAGTTAGAACCAGGACCAGGACCAGAGGTTGGACCAGAACCAGAGTTAGAACCAGGACCAGAGTTAGGACCAGGGCCAGAATTAGGACCAGGACCAGAGTTAGAACCAGAACCAAAGGTAGAACCAGGACCAGAGTTAGGACAAGAACCAGAGTTAGAACCAGGATCAGAGTAAGAACCAGAGCCAGAGTTAGGACCAGAACCAGGACCAGAGTTAGAACCAGGAGCAGAGATAGGACCAGGACCCGAGTTAGGACAAGAACCAGGATCAGAGTTAGGACCAGGACCAGAGTTAGGCCTAGTTTTAATATTAGAAAGGAGAAAAACAACCACGGAAGGGCCTGAGTAAGAATTTAAAACCTGGATGTGAGTGAGGATCTCCCTGTGACGCAGTTTTAAAATCTTAAACTAAAGGAAGCTAATCTGAAGCTAATCTGCTGCCAGGCTGTAAACACTCCTTCAGTCTGGAACCAAAGGTCCATCAGATAAACCTGTGGGTCTGATGGAGGAACTTACCGGGCGGTGGGGGGGATGTGGGGCTCTCCGTCGGGCTAACCAAGCTAACGTAGCTTAGCAGCAGCAGCAGGCCGGCGGAGGTTCGGGTGGTTCGGTCCGGTAGAGACGGAGACATGGCTGGACTCGGAGCTGCTTCTGAAGATCCGCTGGTTGACAGGAGAGCGATGCTGCTGGTTCTGTTTACCGGACTACGTCACTTCCTGAATGTATTCTTCTTCTTCTTCTTCTTCTTCTTCTTCTTCTTCTTCTTCTTCTTTTCATTAATGGCGGATTGCAAGTAACTTTTAGGTGCATACCGCCACCTACTGTACACGAGTGTGTAGCAACATTTTCTCTACATTTATTAAATTCTATTTATTAATCTTGTGTTTTTAAGAAAATTAAATTAAGCTTTCCTTACTCTATAAATATCCATTATGTTTCCTTCATTTCCTAATATTCCTTTAAGACTCCATTCTTTTCCTGTCCTTCCAACAATTCTTTTCAGATTTTCTCTTTCAGATTCATACGTTCTACAGTTAATTAATACATGTTCTACATTTTCTTTCTCTCCACATCCTTCACATTTATCATAACTTTTCTTCCCTATTAAATGTAAAGTGTCATTTAAATAGGTGTGTCCTACTCTTAATAATTATTTCTTCCCTTCTGTTTCTCTCATCAATATTTCTAATTAGTACGGACTTTTGCACTTTATGTAATTTTCTCCCTTTCTTATCTTCATTCCACCTTTTTTGCCATTCTTTTATTTCTTTTATTTTATAATATTTTAATATTTTAATACATGATTTCCCTTCCCCTTTCCCGAAAGGAATTATCATCGTCATTTCTAAAGCCCTTTTTGCTAATTTATCAGCTTTTTCATTTCCTTTAACCCCTTCGTGAGCTGGAACCCAGCAGAACCAGACATTAATGCCACCTCTATATAATCTAAATAAACTATGCATAATTTCTAATA